GTATGTATGTATGTATGTATGTATGTATGTATGTATGTATGTATGTATGTATGTATGTATGTATGTGTGCACATGCATTTTATTTTATTTACTCACAACAGAAAAGGCTAGCTTTAGCATTTTTCTCATCAGTTTGTTTGTAAATACAGTATATGGGTAGTTAGTTTAAYAACACTAAAAGGAGTAAAACATGTTGGTTCAATCATACTATAGTTTCCTGGCCACTAACTGGATTTTCTTTCTCTYAAATTCACCAGGAATTCTTTTTAACACCTTTAAGATAAGTTGCTGAGATGAGATATGGTGAGTTGATTAGATAACTACAATTTWAAAAAAAATCACATCCCTGCATAGTTCAGTGTTTTAGTTTTTATTAAATTTGGTAAAAACAACTTATTTTTCCTGTTTGTTTCCTGTAATATGTTTTTTTTTCCCTAAAGTGTAAAAGTAATGATAAATGTTAAAAATCTGTATATATTTCAGTTTTATAATGTCACCCCTACTGGCCAGAAAAATCGTCCTGTAACAAACTCAAAGTGGCCCACGGGCCAGCAGTTGAATTATGGTTTAATTTAAGCGTGTTTTGTGGCTCTGGACACATTTTATTAGTGAAAAGGCAGAAATGGCTCTTTTGATTGTAAAGCACTCCTATGTTCTATCTCGTTTTCTCAGATCAGAAGGCCTGTTATTAACTCCAAAAGCCAGAAGAAAAACTATTCGTGAACGTGCCTTCYCCTTTCGTGCCACTTCTCTGTGGAACAATCTCCGTCAGGACATCAGGCAGGCCTGTTCTGTGGAGGTTTTTAAAGCAACTGTCTCACTTGTTCCCTTTATCTTATGTGTTTTAATGTTTTAWTTATTTATTGCATTTGATCTGTTGTTGTGCTTTTACCTCTTGCTACTGTTCATTTTGTCTGAAAGTGCTTTATAAATAAAGTTATTATTACCATTATTATTATTATTATTATTATTATTATTATTATTATTATAAAAGGTTATAAACTCCAGCTTCAGGTCAATATCTCCAAATGGCAGTTTTAGCCATTTTTGTGCTTGCAAAAGTTGGCAATCCATCCAATGTTTCATGCAATTATTTTCTGACAGACAGATTAGTGAGCAAACACACACACACTCAAACAATGACCATTATACACTGTGGTTAACTAAATCGTTCAAAGACAACATGTAAATTGCAGCCTCCCTTTTAAAAGATAAACAATCAAAAAAAAAACACTAGCATTAATAAAGAAAGAGCTTAGGGGAAACATGGGACATTTCCAACAYGAGCGCTCCTAAATCTAACAGAAAACTGCAAAGCTCTGCAAAGTGTCCTCGCCAACACCTTCCCTCAGTGGTCGATAAAATGGAGGCAAAACACTGAGAAGTCCTCCGCTCATAAATGAGAGACATTTAGACAGGCCCGGTGGACATTTCATCTACAAACTGGCTCTTTATTACAAAGTCAGCGGTGGTCTGTGCCACCGAGTCCTGAGGGGACAAACAACACCTTTAATATTGATCCCTGACAGAGTCGGAGGTTTATCTGCAAAATGTTTCCACGTGAAGCTGAAGAGATGATGCAGCATTTTTTATTTTGTTTATTATTAAATCCTGTTTGAGGTCTTTGACGCCTCTTTACTGTWAGAGCCTTCCTGGGAGTGTTGCTTTGCTGACGGGTTATAAAAGTGCATCAGTTTTGAAACTCCACCACTTTGGTGCCACAATGAATGTGGAAAAACATGTTTTTATTTTTTCCTTATTTGCTCAAATCATCACCATGACTCTGGATTTAGTGCATGTTTAATCTAACAAAACCTGCGGATTATAGATTATCTCAATRATAACCCAGACATGTTGGTTTCTTTTGTTGACACAGACTGTTGTAAATCCAAATAATAATCTCAGAAGCCAAAAATTCCTCTACCTTTACCCGTTGAAGGTGAGATAGTAGATGAGAAGAAAAGAAGAAAGCTCCTGTCATCCTTACATGAATCAGAATAAAAAAACTTATWATTTCTATATTTTTAAGAGTAAATGCTTCATGATATATTGCTTATGCAAGAGAATACAAAGAAAAAAAACAAGTAAGGAGTAGGCTGAAACTTCAACTAATATGTCTGTTAGTAAAATATATCATAAACCACTGGATAAAGTTTAATAAAATTTTCATACAGTAATTAGTGGATGTAATTTATTCAGGACTGAAGTTAGCTCAAGGTGCTCACCACAACCTACCGATGTTAGAAATCATTAAAACTGTTATAACTCAGTCAATTCTATGGATATTCAGCATAAAGTTGGTGTGGTAGTAGCTGTGAGGCCTTCTCATAACATATTCTGAGGGTTAATAGATTGCATAAGAACTTTGTTTAAAATTTYTGGCATTAACTTCTGAAGTCAGTCTTATCTGTCTGTTAGCAAAATATCTCGTGAACCACTGGATGGATTCGAGCAAAACTTTTGAATTTGATTCATAGAATGTTTTTTGACAACTGATTAATTTTTGGAGCCAACCTTATTTAAAATGGTCACCACAGCTGACTGATCCTGACTAACACAAACATRGCTGAAATTCAACCAATTTTACAGATGTTGAAGTAATTTTTGGAGAGGTAGGGGCAAATAGTTATCCTCAACATATACTTTAAGTGTTAATGCATTTTGCAAAAACTCAAAATATCACAGAAGATTTTGCATTTTGTCATTTATGAGGTTTGACCGAATTAGTTATAACTGCTCCTTCTCATAAAAGATTGATTTGACACAGACAGTGATATTCATTCTTTAAAGGGATGATCGACCTTTAATTGCAAGAGTTTGATTTGTTTGTTTATTTGGAAAAGAAAAGAAAAGAAAAGAAAAGAAAAGAAAAGAAAAGAAAAGAAAAGAAAAGAAAAGACAGCAGACCCAGGCTCACCTCAAACTTTTGAACAATGGCTGCAAAGGCAGGTGACGTTCTGCAGCTGTCCTCCAGTAAACTTATGCTTCGATCGTAGTGGCCGATGTAGGTGGTGAAGACCAGGAACTCTGCTTTCCTCGTTAGGAAGATGTCAGCAATTCTTTGACCGTCCTCCCTGAAGAAAGACAGAGGCGATGAGCACAAAGGAGAGGAAGAGCGCAGCGGTTTGTTGTTTTATTTCTGAGGKTTTGACGGTTTGTGTGCAACAGCCTCGTGTCTCACCAGTGTCGGACTCGACTCTCCAGCTCTGTAAGGATTTTGCGGTGCAGACTGTAAATATCAGGCAGCTCATTCAGAATCTCCCTGAGCCTCTCGTCGTCCAACACAGGCTGCCCGTCATCCCCGGTCGCAGCCCCCACCGCTTCCCTGAAGTCCTGACACGCAGTGTGGAGATGTTGAATTGATTTTGCAGTTTAAGTTACAAACAAACAAGCAAACCTAACAGTTTCCTGATAATTTGTTTCCCCTCCCCCTCCTCTACAACAAACTGATAATATCAGAAAGCAGGGAGTACATGAAGTATTGTGCGAAAAAGCTTATCATCTCTTCGAGCGCTGGAGCTGCACTGATTTAGATCACTCGTTTATTTTCTGCACCATGAGGAAAATTAAAGAATGGGGTTTGGTCCTCATTTCCTCTGCTGAACAGCCTGTGGGCAAGGCCTTCCACTTTAAACTGCATCAGTGAATCGAACAATTCAGTGTAAAAATTCAAACTGTGGTGTTAACTGTGTGTTCAGACAGAGAATAAGCTGAAATTTGAGGTTTAAAAAGTATGAACCTAATGGCCTAAAAACAGATGCCATCATGCAAACAATCAGGTGTAGGATGAAATAATTATTTTTATATTAGTTTTTAAAGTAAAGATTAGTAACAAAGCATATATCAAACTATTACATCATCATTTGGAAGTAAAGTCAGACAGAGTGTAAAAGAAAATCTGTGCACTCTATGACTTATTAGCTCATAAAATTTTGTTTTGCTGCAATAACTTGAAGCAATCATCTTCTTTATGACCTGAACAGTTTTTAATATTGTTTTGGAATAATTTTCAACAAAGTCTCAGTTTCCTCTGAATTGCAGGCTTTTGTTGATGMAATGGTGTTAAGATGTAAACTTTGGCTGAGACATGTTAATCCTCTGTTGTTTCACACATTCAGCTGTAAATGTGATGCTATRATTGACGTCCTGATGCAGTTAAACAGASAGCATCACGTTTGACTCTAGAATACATTTGATTTACAGAAGAGTTTATGGTCAACTTAAAGATTCTATGGTTACAAAGGAAGTCCAAATTATTTTACAAAACTATGTCGATATTTCATTGAGTGTTGTTTTGTTGATGTTTTATTTCACTTCAATGCAAATTTAAAAATACACAATGAGATATTGAACGGTTTTGTCTAATTCAGAGGGGTCTTTTTTTGTTTTGTCCTTGTATAATTTCTTTTTGGAGCTCTRTATGTTTTTATATTAGTATTGCTAATAATTTACGCAACCAAATATCTGAGGAGCCACTCAACTTGAGATCCAAAAGAACTGATTCCAGTTGGAATGAGGTATTTGCATTTGTTGAGTCAAATGTGATGCTGTTCATTCTGGCCAAATATTCCTTTTCTTCACATCTTTTCAACATTATTACAGACATTTCCATATTTTTTTGTCAATTTTTTATTTTTATTTTAGCTTGAGCTCAACTATTCTAAACAAGCCAAAAATGTTTCATCTTTTACAACATGGAGTTTCATCCTTTACTCACTTTCTGCAGCAGTTTGAGACCCTTCACATGTCTGAGGACAGAGAAGAACAGCATATTCAGGGTTGATAGGAAAGTGTGTTTATTTTTTTAACATCACATAAATGTTTGAAATTTTAAAATATTACAAACTCATACTTACAATCTCTCCGTATCCAGCAGCTCTTTCACAATGTAAAAGGCTCTGGATCGACCGTCGGGCTGTAAATGATCACAATGTTCACTGATATTTGGCTCAGCATCAGGAAAAACTGAAGCATTTTTGGCCTGAGTTCAACAAATAAACGGTTTCTCCTCTTCACAGCGTCTCAAAGCAGCAGTTCAAATCTAAATGATGAAGACAATCTGGCAGCAGCCCATTAACCCCCATTAACCTGCCTCTTCCTGAATATATCTGTCTGCCTCTAGCATCAACAAGATATCAGTGGAAAAAATCAACTACAGGTAGGAAAAAACAACAGACAAGGCATATTATGAACCTAAAGCAAACATGTGCTGTTATCAAACCGAAGGTGGCCTAATGAAGGAAGTGAGTGTGGGCAGATTAACTTTTCCACATTCAGTAATTATTTTCCATCTTCAGTCAAACTCAGCATGCCGGAGAGCCAACCTGTCTGTCATAGTTAATGTCTGTTCCTTCTTCYTCCTCCGAAGTGCGTCCTTGGTCTTCCTCACACAGCGTCTTGGCTACAAAACCCATTTGTGGACCAGCAGCTACAGTACACACYTTGTAGGCTTCTGTGTAGGCACTGCAGGAAGGAAAAAGAGCAGCCAGCATCACAAAAGGAAGATGTAAACATCGGATACAAAGGAAGTCTGTTTCCATGTTTCATGATTTAATTTACTTTTTAAATATTTGAATCAAAGATTTTTAATGAGATTTTTTAAGACAAGATTTTCTCACAGTTAGAGGTTTTTTAATAAACTGTGTTCTGTTCTAAAACTTTCRTTTATGTGAAAGTAAATCAAACGAATTTCATTTAACCATCAAAACCTTCTTTGTGTTCATTGAATTATCACTATAATAAACATATTCAGCATTGAAGAAAAATGTGAATAAATAAAAGATTGCAGAGCTGAAGCAATAAACTGGCCTCCGAAGGCCCCCCGGTGACAACCACACCCACCGAGGGAAACATGGTCGTGTTTTATGCTACAGGATTTTCTTCTGCAGGGAAACCAAACTGAATATGCAAATGGCTGCAGCTGAGTGGAGAACATTAGCCATGCAAAAAATAAATAAATAAAAATAAAAAAAATACATTCCTAACTCATGCTTATAGACSCCGGCATGAATATCTGCCTTGTTTTAATTCCAGAATCATTGGATTTAACCCCACTGAGATACAAATTAGCAACATACGAGCAACATATGTGAGCTGCATCGTAAACATTACAGCTGCATGGCCCATTGCTGCTTATTGGAACCAACTTTGAATGAGACACCGGGGGTTTCTCAAACACAGAACTTCAGCTTCTATATTAGGYCTTTAGATCACTCCTAAAGAAAGTGCTGCTGGCATTCCTCACTCCACTGCCACGCCATGAGAAAAGCTCAGGGCGAAAGCTGCAGAGATAAATTACAAGAGGAGATAAAAATGATCCTTCTTTTTTTCCTCAAGCTAAGCTTCAGATGAGCATGTGAGGGTGCCGATGATCTCCAACTATTTGCTAACATGGCTTCTTCAGGTTATTGTTAAATTAACCACCTCATGTCTGGATAGTGTAGTGCTCTGTAAAATGATTAAAAAAATAATAAAAATAGACGATGTAAATACAGTTTGGAGGAAATTTCTCATAAAATCTTGGCTTGTGTTCTGATGATTGCAATCCAAGTAAACTAATTAAACACAAACAGTTGTACTGGAAATAATGTTAACTTCCTTCAATTAGTTCATTCTTTTGTTTCCTATATCAATTTTTGTACAAGAATTTAGAACAATTCACTCACCCCAGAAAACAATTTAATTTTATCAATAATTCCTGGAAAAGCTTGACTGARCTAATCTGTAACTCAGTTAAAATAAAGACCTCGGTTCAACCAGTTTGTTTTACAATAATTTTGCTCAATATTTCACTGTATTTTGTGAATTAATTAGAAATGAAATTTTGTTTATTCCCTGGAACTGTAAATTATTTTCTTTACCAAATTTTTGGATAAAGTCAGTAAAAATATAAACAGTCAAATTTAATATACATAAAACTTTTGGGAATTTGCTTCATGTTAAAAAATTTTAACTAAGTCAAAAAGACAATTTTTGGCAACAATAGTAAAGCCACCTCAGGTTTTTCAAAAAATTAATGGACTTTTTTTTCTGATACTGAATTTATGCCAAACAATACAATATTTTTGTATAAGAAGAACAAAAATCAAACCCAAACATGTAGTACTAAATGGGATACTGTAAATTCTGTTGTAAAATTACTACAGTGTTTTAATCCAAACATACAGTATATCAGCCAAAATCTTTATAAAATAATAATAAACTTAATTTAGGGGTTTATAGGTGAGTTGGCTGACTGGGTTGTAAAATAAATTCAGTGATTTTTTCTCTGCAGGTTTCATAAAAAATTCTTCAGTTGTTCATGAGATATTTTGTTAACACACAGACACAACAGGCAAAAATATTATTTTCCCCTCACAGTGGCAGGTGGTAATTAAACAGTGGTCACATTTTTCATTGAGTCACGCCGACTGATGATATCTGAAAAATATATTTCAAAATGTTTATGTCTTAAGTTTGTCAACMTTTTGGGATAATTAAAACTAAATGATTCATGTCATGCCATACTTCACCAATCTTTTTTGCGCTGATATTTTTTACCCATTGTGTGCTGTTTTGCTTGCACACGCACCATAAGAACCCTTGAAGAGGCGAGCTCTCCAGAGAACRTCTGCTGACTACAGAACACTGAGATTGTATCGCTGCCTGTTTGTTCCAGAGTGGCTGGAGAAGAGCAATGACTCTTTAACACTCCATTATTCATCTTGAGGGGGCTGTATGATATGGGCAAGGCAGACAGGAATGCAGAGGGCNTGTGTGTGTATGTGTGTGTGTGTGTGGGGGGGGGTGCATGTCAACACATCAGAACCGATCAAACCAACAAAYAACACCAACACAAGAGGCTCTACCTTCACAACCTGCTAGAGGAGACATTTTCTGCACCAGAGAGATGTTCCATTAATGAATGAAACCAGCCTGTTTTCACTTGAGATGTGAAGAGACCACCCCAGCACCAGCATTTCCTCATCTCCCACCAAACATGCCCCAGCAGCACACAGTCATGGACGGGGTATATTAAACCCCATTGCAAGGCAAAAGGGAGCCTCCTGTCAACTGCTGATCATCACAACATCAAGGGATGATAAATCTTTTGTCTTCAGGGAGACTGTTAAACACATTCAGTGACCGAGAAGTAATAAAAAAGGCTTGTGCTCATTATAAAAGCTGACAAGAATCAATAAAGTGGTGTCCAGACATCAACTTACACAACTACACACTTGTGACGACACATTAATGGTACTGGCAATGTGGCTTTTCTGTTGTTGTTGTTGTTGTTTTTTTTTTTGTATGTTTTGTTTTGTTTTTGTTGTTGTTTTTTACAAATACTCCAAAAAATCTATTGAATTTATTTTTCCTAATGATGGATATATAATTTATATATTTATATAATTTATACACAAGTAAGATGGAAATGGATTTTTAATTTTTTTTGGTAAAAATGATTTCAGTAAAGATCAGTGTAAGTACCTCAAACCGATACTTGAGTGTAAGTATCTTACTATAAAATTTAGTCTTCTCTAAGAATATTACTGTAGTACAAGTCTGACATTTAGTGTACTTAGGTATCAAAAGTAAATTTTGGATATAAAATATAGGGTAGACTGAGTACATTTGAGATATGTGTACAGTTGAGACACCATCAATATCTTCTGTTCACATTAAGTCTTAGTTATGATTTTTGCTGTGCACATGTGCCTTAGTGTCCTCTTTGATGGTGGAAATTTTTAACTTTATGAAAAGCACTACTCCAAAGAAATCGACAAAAATATTTTTGGCAGGCTAGATTTTAACTTTTCCATGTCCCTTCTACGGTGAATATCTTATTACCCTTATATGACATCTAAATGTAACTTGAATATACGCAAAAAAATATTTTGTTCCCTAAAAGATAACATATTTCATGACATCATGGCATTAAAGAACATTAAATAATCCAGTGAAATGTGCAACATGGTAACCAGATGTTGATTTGCATGGTGTTTAGCAGCAATAGTTTAAGCATGTTCATTCATTCATTTGAATTGAATAAATAAGCTATTAAATAAAGCTTTAAATAAGCTATTATTTGAATGCAAACGATTCATGTAGCATGGCTCCTGCCTTCCTATGCAGTTGCGCTCAATTCTAGTTTCCCTAATATAAGGGTCTGGTGTTTACCAGGCTACATTCATGTGAATTGTTGAACATTTAGTAATATCAATACACTGCAAAATTATATTAAAATTCAACAAATTATTATGTGTCTGTTAAATATTTAATTTGTTTTGCTGCTTTTTAACCTTTAACCTATGGTAGAGTCAATGTAAATGAAAGAAATGCATTTCTAAAGTGTATAACACTGATCATTATTTTTATATACAGTTTATTACATTGATAATGACTGACTTGTTAGCTTTCCAGCATTTTGAATGGTGTCTCAACTGTAC